TACTACCTACTACTACTAACTAACGTAACGTAAACGAAACGTAACACGTACTACTACTACTACTACGTACTACACACACACACACACACACTACTACTCTCCTCTCTCTCTCTCTCTCTCTCTCTCTCTCTCTCTCTCTCTCTCTCTCTCTCTCCATATTCCCCCACCACTCCCCCTCCAACCCCCTACTCTAGGATTGCCCAGATATCTAGGCGCCTATCTTTTTATGACTTAGGCAGCCTTCAATCATGTGGAATCTATCTATTATGACTAAAAAAAAAAAATTTTCCTTTTTTTTGTGTTGGTATGGACACTATGAACTGGGAGAAGAGAAGGTTCTATGCCAAATTCATTCCCCTGCAAGACAATCTCGAGAAAGAGTAGCCTTAATGGTCCAAATACATTGCTTTCCCTTTAATTCATGTGGCTAGAGTATCAATGCCTCAAGATGCAAGTATATGAGTTGGGGGACACTTTTGAAACATGATGTAAAGTGTTTTCAATACCCTTTGGAAACTCTGAATGTTGAAGCCCATTATTACATGTTGAGAACAAAGAGGTTTTAAGAAATGCGCAAACAGAGAAGGCTAATCTTGTAGAGATATGGATAGAGAATATGAAAGGACTGAATGTAAGGAAATGCAAGTGAATACATGGAATAATGCTCCAGTTGAGCGGTGAAATTTTGCATCGACCATTGGACTACAAGATTTTTCTTTCACGCGAAAGATTAACATGACCAAATAACTATGACAGTTGCATCCTATGATAAGCAAAATGACTAAACGATATGCTGTTAACATCTCCAATTAAAAGGCCCCCAGCAATTCACATTGCCAAATGGTTGCTATTGGATTGCATACTGGAATCAATTTGGCAATGAATATATCACATATATAAAATTAAGATTCCAAACATTTAACACTAAAACAGGAAAACAAGAGGGAAAATTCAAGAGATAAATTAACGTTTAATAGAATTATCATGAAAATCAATTATTGAGAAAAAAAAGAACAACAACTTGAAACATTAATCAAGTTATTTTTGTTGCGATTAAAATAAAGTAGGAATTCAAACAAGACAGACAAGCTTCATCTAACCAGAATATTTAACCAAAAACCAAAATATTTGTTATCCATCAGACAATCGAGATAAAAAATAAGGAAATAAATAGACCAAAAGAAGTCATATAATCTTACAACTCTAAGATAATCACTAAAGCAAAAGATAGCACTGTTATACAACAAACAGTAGCAAGAACAGTGATGATCAATAGAATCAACGAAAAAAGGAAACCTTCCTTAAACTGCAAACAAATGAAAATGATTTAACTAAACAGCAATCAGCAACTTCTTTTTTTTACCACTGAATCATTTGGCTAAAGCAGAAATACAAATAGGTCAAAGAGACCAGTTCCAAACTGAAAACTTACTGAATTTATAAGGTTTTCTGGAACCTCCATTACCATGACCAAGGGCTCCCACAATAACTCTGGTTCTACAACCAGTAACCCTCCTCTTTCCACATAGAGCAAGGAGAGATGACCTTTGAATTAGGAAGGGGTTATCAGAAACCCTCCTTGAAGTGGAAGAAAATCCTAGAAAAAACTTGGGGGAAACTAGGGTTTCCATTTTTGGAAAAAAAGGGATAGAGAGAGAGAGAGAGAGAGAGTAAGGAGATCGGAAGTAAGACTGAGGCTTCGTCGTCCTGGTCGGGTTATTACACTCGAGAAAGAGCGGAAGGGTGCACGGATGATAAGTCGGGACGAATATTTCGTAAATACCCCTGTGATGTGACTAAATTACGAATGTGCTCCTTTCAGATAGGTTGGCGACGGGTCGCGTCCCGAACAGGACCCAAACCCGAATAGTATTTAGGTCGAGGTTTTGGACTCATACTCATGCTCGTTGTGTCCCAGGTCTATCACATCGGGTCCAGGGTCGGATTGGGTCCATAGACACCCTCACTATAAACTCTTTTTTCTTTTCTTTTTTTTTTATATTATCATATATCTATATTATAGGCAACAAGGTCACAATCACCAACCACTAGATTTCAAACCATCTATTTTGTTGTTTAATAGCTAAAAATGATTATATGTTCTTATTGTATATGATCCTAAATACACTGAAACATATAAGACTTAAAGTATTTTATCTCCAACAGTTTATATGTACGGGGTCGGGTCTAATCGGGCTTGGACCCAGACTCGAATAGTGTACGGATCCAGGTTTTAGACCCGAACCCGACCCATCGGGTCCAAATGCTGGACCCATATCGGAACCCGTGTCGGATGTACTTGGCCAAGATTGAGTCCAGGTCCATTGCCACCCTTACTTTTTAGGTTTTTCCTTTTTAAAAAAAAACATCTAATTAGTTTTCCTTTTTAAAAAAAATATAATTTACCTTTTTGGTTTTTTCCCTTTTTTAATTTTAAAAAGTGATGTACATTCTAATTTAACTTCAAATAGCTTTTGTGAAAAATGATGTAAAAATCTGTATTAAATCATGCAAAACTAAATATATGCATTAAAATCTACAAAGAAGAAAAAAGTTATCATCATCAAAGCTTTTTCCCAATTAATTGGGGTCGACTACACGAATCATAGCCTGTGATGTTGCTTTATTAAGAATCATACCCTTAGTGACTATAAGTCCATGTATCTTTTTTCACTTCTTCCAATCATATCATTTTGGACCTACCTCTTCTTTTTTTAGCCTTCCACTGGAACTAACTCGCACCTTCTAATAGGTGTTGTACTGGGTCCGTGCCATACATGATCAACTCGCCGAAGTCTATAATTTGCCATCTTATCGCCTATTAGTGAAAGTAAAAATAAAAAAATACATATTGTTGAGCTCGGGCTTCAAAGTTCCCTCGCTGCCCTCGGAAGCGTATGGGCCTCTGTGGTGGATTCTCTATAAAAGTGTATGAAAAGGATATCCAACTTGGATATTCTATACAAGACCTTATGAATGCAGTCCTTCGGGCAAGCCGTACTGCGAGTGGTTCATCGAATACCATTTTAGGAATCTCCTTCAATGACAATGTGCTAGCCAAGTTTCAAAGCTTAGCTCAATGTTGTTAATCAATGGTGTGGTCCATATACATGTTTAACCTCTTTTTTTTTTGTATGTTAATTGTGGGTGATCTCAATGAAACAGGCTTAGAAATTTGAGGAAGAATACCTCCCAAATTCCATTCTCTACTTTACCCATTCTATGTCTGAGACTTTGAAGTGGAGTCCAAGTTTCTTCTACCCTTAGGTGCTAGATCATGGCCAATAATGAGGAACTCTATAGTATAATGGAGAGAGACATCCATTGGGAATAAAGTGAGCTGACATGATGAACATCACCCAAACATGGAAAAAAAAACACTCATACAACTTTCTAGCAAAAGAACATGAACGAACGACTCATCAACTGCTCTCCTTGCTTGAATAAAAGGCGAATATTTGGGATAGGTTGCCTTGAAAGCTGTGAGCCAATAACATGCTTACGCCTTGTGTGGCCCCTGTATAATCCAAACCAAACATGCAGTCGTGTTTGGGTGTCCTTGACCTGCAAATAATAGGTAACATGACTTACCAGAAAAGTTACTTCCAATCTCCAGCTCCCTGATGAGAGTCTTCTCTGGTAGGGTGGTAGTAAAAGCCCGAAAGGTCCTTCTGCAAATAAATACATTCTTATTCTACATCTCGAAGTCTCTGGTGCTGCAACTCTAATCAACACCAAAAGTCACTCCCTAAAGTAACATCTTGCATTGTAACTAGGGGATGTGATCGATGCCGAAAATCTCTAGGAATTGGGCACAAAGTGGATGATCACCAATCCACTGGCCTAACTAGTACTGGGTCCATGCCATCTCCCATCACCCACCATGGATCCTCTGTTCTCAATGAAGGTGTTCCTGCACTAGTTGATAGCCCTCCAGGGTCCTGAGAGTCTTGCATCGTGATTGTTCATTTGCAAGCCATACCATCACATCATTGCCATTTTTTCCTAGGATTACCTCTCTGTAGAGATAGTTGGACTCCCCCTAACTTCACCACCATTGCACAAGAAGAGCCATGTTCATCATCTTTGACATCCTCAGTCCCTACCAACCTTATCCCAACTCACTAAGTGAAACTTTTGGTCTTTTATAAGTTCAGCGGCAGCTCTCAAACCACCTCAATTTCACATTTGTGTTGCAAAGGCATTGCAATATACAGTGATACCATCTTGACATTGGACATGGGACACAACTGGTCTGAAGTGAGAGACTTCGAATCCAAATAGTCATGCTTTATTGAACACCACTAATATCATCTTACTAAAAATTTTTCAAATGATGGAGAAAAAGGGGGAGAGGAGGTCCCCTTACATTATACCTATTGAAGCCTTAAAAGAAAACCTTTTAGAGCACCATTAATCAACATCGAGAAGTGGCTGGAGATAGGCATCTGACGATCGAATGACACTACTGCTTCCCGAAATACACAAGTCTCATTATTAATGATTAAACACGGCTTCTATGAGTCCATGTAGAAATGAGTCCCCTATAAAAAATATGTTTTTGAGATGGATTTTTGGACCAAATTTTTAAGGATATATAATCTCTAACATGGAGATCATGAATATGAATAAGTAAATAAATTTTTAAAATTAAAAATAATGATTTTATAAAAAAACATATGGACCATTAGTTTCACTGTTTTTCGATGGATCACTCATTTGCTTCCATCTTTAAGATGGATCCTTTATACCTTGGGGGACATAAATGTAGCAATGTGTCTTCTGACTCATGGAACAATTTTTCTTATTGATAAGGTATTGTATACAATTAAACTATTCACTTTTGATACTAGATGGTTACAATCACTCTTAACCATTAGATGTCAAACTCAACAGCTTGAGATGTCACAAATTTTACAAAATTTTATTTTGAACCTTGTGCCCAATCAATGACACATCTGCAATCACCCAATTTCAAATCTAATGGTCAACAGTGATTTATACTTTCCCTAATGATAATCACCGCCAAACTTATTGTCCGGCAAATCCCGTTTGTAAATAATGTTTGCTTTTTGTCCATATAGCTCGAACAAATGCATGTGTTTGCTAACAGGCACCTTTTAAGATTTTACATCTCCTTTACAAATGCAGCCCAAGGCATGGACATCGCTTTGCCAAGGACAGTCCTTAATCTAGTAGTAAGCACCACAGTAATAAAGAAGTATCTTGTATAGACTAATGTAGGGTGGCAACGGATCGGTTGGGTCCAGGTTCGGGTCCGGGTCTGGCTGGACCTAGACTCGGATCCGAAAAACTATTATGGGTCACGGACCTAGATACAGATCCAAAGTCACCAGACTTGGACCCAATAATATAATGTGGGACGTGGGCCCGAACTCGAACCCGACTCAAAAATTAAAAAGAAAAAGTTTATATAGAGCCGAGGCTCTAAAAAATTAAATTTGAGCCCACTTCAAAAATTTCACTAAAAGTGGTTATTTTGGTGCTCAAATATCCTCAAATTGATCATCTTGATATCAAGCATGGACAAGAGAAAAAAGATTTCAAGTTTTGGATATAGTGCATCTTGTAACGCATTTTTGGACCGTCAATTTTCAAGATTTTGAAGTTTTCATAGATTTGCTCAATCTACTCTATTTTTGAAGTTCTAAATTTTATAATTAAATATTATAATATATTATAAGGCTATCACAAAGATTTTCAGTATTAAAACCACATTTCTCGACAATATTTGAAGGTGCGCTTTACTTTGATTGTTTAGAGCCAATACAAGCAACACCCAAATTAAAATATCGATGTATTTAAATATATTTTTGGACCCATACCTGACCCGGGTTGGGTCTAGAGCTCCGGTCCCAAATCGGTTCTTGGTTCATTGCCACCCCTAGGCTAATGTAGCAGATATTGTCAATGGACTTTGATAAGTTCCTTCTTAGGTATGATAGCAATGAAAGAGGCATTCATAGTTGTCTTGAATATCCCCTCTCATGAAATTACGAAAACACCACCATGAGGCCCCCTTTATGGGCTGCCAGAACTTCTGAATGAGGCCACTGGGAACCCATCCAAGCCTAGGACTTTACATCTATCCAAGTTGAATACAATTTGCTTGATCTCCTTTGCATTGGATATGATGCATACAATATCACCAATAAGCAAATCCCATATTAAGGGATTGATGTGGTTAATTTTTCCTAAATCAATTAGGAAATCCATTGGAGTTTCTAATTTGGTATGTACTTCTAATATATACAAGAAAATAAGGAAAAGAATATGCGGGCCTTATGAGAAGGACAAGCTTCCTGAGAGAGCCAGGGGCCTCCTGCACAGAGGCAAGGCCACTAGAAAGAAGAGTTTCTCAAGTTGAGAAACAATGCCATGAGACTTTCTTGAGAGAGAGATATGCCGGTTTCTTATAAAACAGGTGATTCTTATGGAGATTTTGTGTGACATTTTTCTATAGTGAGATAAAGTCTCGGTTCTCAATTTTTTTTATTTATTTTTTATTTTTTGTTAATAGTTTATCCGTAAAATAAAGACAAGTGATGGGTTGTGCTAGAGTTGGTCAAAATGGGTGGCTCGACTGAATATTTTGAGGTAAGTCCGTGTTCCACTATTTGTGATGTCACTCTCATTGATATAGTGGATTTCAGTTTGCTATGCCAAAAAGATAGAGCCTTTCTATAAATTTTAGTGTTTGTATTATATGCGTGTTATTATGCTTTATTTCTCATGTTCATGCCACGATTCATACTTGCCTATTGTTTTTTGAACCAGTTTAGATCATGACCATAGCGGGTTCGTTATATTCAGGCTCCTATTTCGGTATCTAATTGGTGTTATACAATCTAGCGATGAGCAGAGTGACCACAAGCCAGCGAGAGAGAGAGCAACTCTTTCCAATAGTTACGGTTAGAGAGAGAGAGAGAGAGAGCAACTCTTCCAGAAGATCCCTGCGTACTGTTTCAAAAATAACCAGTCGAACTCGAATGCTTACCCCGTGTACCATATGAAGTTATAAAAGAATAGCGAATTGATATAAATAGAACACGATCAATAAAATAGATAAATTTGGAAATTAATCCTTTCAAAAAATCTACCCTCATGAAAATCATAAAATATGTACTAACTCTCACAAAAATCACAAAATGTGTCCTAAAACATAAATTTTCAAAACTAGAAAATATGGCTATATAAAGAAATTTATAAAAAATAAATTAGTAAGTATAGATCTTATATCATGACAGTAGCCAATCTGATATATAAGGCTAGTTGATTTTCTAATCCATGAGAACTTACAATCAAAGAAAAGTCATGCTTTGCATATGATTATTGCGCATGCTTAAATTTGGTGTTTTGGCCCAAAAACCCTAATTAGTAATCATGAAAAGCAGCATTTCGCCACATTTTCTTTGCCATGTTTTACTTTTGTTACTTTCTTTTGGTCCAATAAAAGGCACACTAGAAATCATGAGAAGTACATAATTCTTTGGTGAAATGCATTTGATAACCATTCTAGGGCCCAACTAGTTACTTGAGTCAAGGGGTGTGTCTTATTGGAATGAATTCGTTAAACACTAATGATTGTTCATCAGATAATGTTACAAATTATCAATAAACATGCTTGCACTTTATTCATTAATTGTTGATTATTGCAAGAATACTTTCCAACTCTGATTCCTTTCACTGAAATTGAAACAAACAAAGAAAGACAAAACAAAAGAGAGTTGCAACTTATGAGGCCCACTCAAAGATCATGATACTACATAGCATGCATGTTATGAAAATTTTATAGGGAAAAAGCTTAGGCCATGTTAATACAAGTTATTCCTGCAGGAGCACATTGTACACCTTCTCATTACTACAAAAGCAACTACTTATAAGATTTTTCTGGATTTCAAAAACTCGGATCCAAATCATTATATGAGCACAATATTGTTCCTCCGTCAGTAAAAGCCCCGTTTAGGAGATGTTTGGATTTGAAAGTTTGGGATCCACTTTATCTTTTTTCGATTTTTTTTTTTTTTGTTAAATCAGTGGGGATATGGGCCGCTAACCTTAAAGAACGTCTAAAACAATAGATCTGACAGTCCAAAATTTAAATATTTGTTTACAATCCTAAGACTTTTATTTTTAGGCATATAGAGAGCAGGTACACTTCTTTTTCTATTAAGGAGGTTACAACTTTAATATGGGGTCATATGATTACTCCTGCACAGGATTTTACCCAAAAGAGTGAATATACAGTATACTCCTAGGGTCATATGATTACTCCTGCACAATTTTACCCAAAGGAATGAATGTACGATATAGTCCCACAAATATTTTGACATAAAGAACAGTATACAATGAGATCATTTACTTTTTGTACAAGGTGGTCACAATTAATCTTCATTGTTGGATGTGAAATTGGATGGCTGAATTTGTTCGATTGACCAAGCTCAATATTCAATTTTTTTTTTTGAACTTTGTGACACACTCAAGCTATTAGATTTTACGTTAGATGGTTACAAGTAATTGTGACCTCATGGTCTTATTGTATATAATCCCTTGACATAATTGAACAAAGAAAACTATCATTTTAAAAGTTTTAATTTTTTTTTCTTACATACTAATGCACCTCATGTTAAAGATTATATATTCCCAAAAAAATTAAGTTCTTAAAAATGGATTATGGAGAGGGGGTACATATCTGTATATGAGTTCGCCAACTCGTAAAAACCATGTCAAAACCATGTCCATTAAATAAGTCAGATTAGTGCATGATACTGGATTAGAAACTCTCTCTCTCTCACGGATTCACCTACTCTCTTAATGCTCTCTGAATGAAACTGAGTTAATCAAGAAGGATGGATGGGTGGGTGGGTTGAGTCTCTCTCTCCATGCATATTGTCAACTATTTTTCATCAACAAAAAGAGATTAATTGTGTTGATACCAGGCACTACATGTCTACCATTTGCGTAATTAATTTATTGGATGAGGTTTCTGTAAGGCCTAGGCTTTATAATATTGAAAACAAAATAAAGCCGCATCTCAATTCTTCATCCGAAAAGTACTTTTCACGATAGAAATCTCTATAATGGCTCTAAAATCAATTTTCAACACCGATAATGAAATTTGAAATTAAACAATGGTACAGATCTTACGGATCTATGAACACTTATTTTTAAAACAAAATGAACAGTCTCGATAATTTGTTACGATGTACATTATTTTTAAAATCCAAATTTTTTTCACAACCATAATGTTCAAATCGGGATGACCGATGTAAAGGCTTTTCAATAGCTGAATTGCAATTTTCAATGAATTATAAAGCGAGGATTTACTTATTTTGATAGGGCTGCTGCTCTATCAAACCATTTTCCTTCATTTTCACACCAATTACAACAGCTCATTAAAGTAAACATTCTCAAAGCTTCTCTCTCTCACTGCCATCAAATACAATTGAGGAAAATCATTTCCTCACCAATGCCATCACCCATTTCCACACTTCATTTTGCTAATATGAATGTTTTATATAAGTGTACACTAAGAAAATACTCTACAAATTTAATGGAAAATCAAAGGACAATATGGTACAAAATAACACACACCACTTCCTTGGGTGAGTGTTTCCCATGTTCTAAACTCAAACTGAGTTCACCCCACCTCTCTGTCTCTCTCATTATCACACCACTATCACCGACACAAATGACAAAAGTACCCTTAGCAACAAATTTTGGTGGGATCATGCCTAAAAACAGCTCTAATCCTAACTTAGTCCATGATATGATGAAATTAACCTTCAAATCGATTTTTTTCATGGTAGATCCATGGAAAGGACCTTACTCCCAAGGAATCTCGAAACCGAATTATGAATCAATCAGATTACGATGTTAAGCTCGGGAATTTTCATGATCAAACGGCAATCTTGAACATCCCCCAACTTAGGGGAAATGCATGTGATTCTTCAAATTAAGAGATTTGGAGGAGGTTGAAGTTGAATCTTTCCAGGGTCTTGGTTCTTTGGCTCTCCAGTCTTTGAAGAAGAGGTTTGTTGAAGAATTCGAGTTATTGGTTGCAAGTGGGTGTACAAAATAATATGGTTTTTGATCTCTCCGAGATCGGAGGGGGAGGTCTGAGAAGGTGGTTTAGGGTTTGGGAACTCTGAGAGCATTTGGACCACTTCTCTCATGGTGGGTCTCTCTATGCTATTTTCTTGGACACACAGCATTGCTATGAAGAAGAGGTGCATGGATTCTTCTAAGGGAACTTGGTTTAGTCTTGAGTCTAGGATTAGGGTTACTTTCCTCCGGTCGCCTCCTGTCGTCCTTTTGGCCCATTGGACAATATCGACACCGTCTCCAAAGTCCCCGACTGGCCGATGGCCGGTGATGAGTTCTAGGAGCACGACACCGAAGCTGTACACGTCGCTTTTCTCGTCCACCTTCAAAGTGTAGGCATACTCTGCATGATAATAAGAAGCATTGTTGATATCAAGGATTCTATTTTGGGTCGTTGAAGTCTGGAAAATGTGTGCATGTCTGTGCAAGAGAGAGGATTGTACGTGTGTGTGTGGGGTGGGGGGGGGGGAGTGATGCATCATGTGAAAGAGAGAAAGAGGAGAGAGAAAGGTCATCCATGTAATAGAGAGAGAGGTCATCCATGTGATAGAGAGAGAGGAGAGAGGAGGGGGAAGTGAAGCATCTCTGTAATAGAGAGATTGAGGTCATCCATGTTATAGAGAGAGAGAGGAGAAAGAGAGAGAGGAGAGAAAGGTCATAAATGTAATATAGAGAGAGGAGAGAGAGAAGTCCATGTAATAGAGAGAGAGAGTGAGAGAAGGCATGGGGGCACCATTGTCATGGTGCTAGAGAGAGAGAGAGAGAGAGGAGGGTGGGGCACTCCATGCTT